AGAAATTCTCCCTGTCTAGTTCTTAAGATGGCCGCTCCTGCCCCTCTACCTTCTCGTAGTGCAGTGTCTGTTGTGAGAATTACTCCTTCTGCTGGGAATTGCCATTTGTGTATGGAGATTGCGCCCATCTTCACCGAGGGTATATTGTGTGTGATTCTGATGCCTTCTATTTTCTGACTCGATTGATTGATGACCATCCATTCATATGTTTTTTTAAGAATGGTGTTGATGGTTTGTTGGACATTGTGTTCCTCGTCCTCGTAGACCCTTCTATTCCTTTCTTTCCAAATTTCATGAGTAATTATGCCTGGAATGTTGTTGATCAACAAAGTGTTATCTCTTTGTTTTTGTCCTTGCTTCCACCAGTTGTTTAAGTAACTCAAAATTCCATGATTGATGCCTCTGCTTATGCTGAATACTTCCTCAAAGAAACAATGAGTGATTACTGAGAGGGACTATGGAATCCCATTCTAGTTAGTGATTGGGGAAGGGGGAGGTAGCCAAAACTAAGTTTCCAAAGAAACAATGAGTGTTTAGGAGTCTGCTTAGGGGTCCAGCAGGATTTAGTGAAAGGATGGATGGGGTTTTTCTCTCTCAGTGAATTCTTTGCCTTCTTCATGCTAAAACCAGCATCATTGTTATTCCACCAAAGTCTCCCAAAATCATCTATATGGAACAGACTTTGCGCAATGTCATTGGCTTTGTAGAGCCTTTTCCAATAGATAGAGTCTATGATTTTGGGGGCAGTGTCAAGACCTCTAGGGTATCTGGCCCTCATGAACTTTGCCCACAATGAATCATTTTGAGTATAAGTCCACCACATTTTGAGTCCATAAGCTTCTTGAATAGTGGTGAGATCAGTCAGGCCTAAGCCACCCTCCTCTTTGGGGAAGCAAAGTTTCTCCCAAGTGGCCCAATGATATTTATTTCTACCATCTACTTTACCCCAAAGAAAATTACTCATCCTTGTATGGAGACTCTTGATGATGCTCTTTGGAATTTTGCTGCAGCCCAATAAGTGAAGTGGAATTGAGTTGAGCACATGTTTAATGAGAACAAGTCTTCCATTCATGCTCAGGAATTTTTTGTACCAACCCTGAAGTTTGTTGTCAAAGAGATTGAGGAGGTCTGTGCAGTATTTCTGTCTATTAATACCTTGATGAATCTGCACACCTAGGTATTTAAAAGGTAGGGAACCTTTGTTCATGCCAAGGATTGCCTCTGTTCTCTTTAAAATAGAATGGGATGTTTTTTTTGGAGTGTAAATATATGATGTTTTTTTGGAGTGTATATATATATATATATATATATATATATATATATATATATATATATATATATATATATATATATATATATATATATTATCACGACTATATATTTAATATTACTCCCACTAGTGTAGTATACTACTCCCTTACAAGTCCTAAGTGTGTGACCCTTTAGGTATCCATAACACTGGCAATGATATTAATATAAATTAATACCATAGATAATAAGCGGTATCTAGGAACACATTATTACCCCCAAATTATGAAAAAGACGTTCATCTCATCAATACCTTCTACGACACAAGACGTTCTATAACTATGATCCTTTTGTCCTAAATGTCATGATTTAACACAAGGCATGGGATGTGTATCCTTGAATAGTTAAATCAGCTGTTACTGAATCTCAAGTAGACTGGCGGGGATCAGATATTTATCAGTCTCTGGATAGCGACATATCTGGGCATGGCCATGCACTTTCCCAAGTCCTACTATTCAGTGGGCCCATTGACATTATACTTCTATACAGTAGAAGGGACAGATCCTGTATCTGTTATTCACATCTCTAAATATGCTTAGCGGCATACCCAACGCATAACTGTACGTCTACCAGTATTTCAGATAGCATTAGTTATGAATCAAAACATACGGCCCCACATATCAGAGAATGTAATAACTTCAAGTCTGAGGATAGTTATAGCAAGGTCGATTTGAGAATACTGATAAACACATTACTGTAGATCCATGCAGTATTCTCAAGATGGGTCAATCCAGTCACATATTATCGATATAATATGCACCTACGTACAGATTAAGATATCACAATACTTATAGTCTATGAGACGCAACTATCTCATCTTGTACGTACTAGTCTTGATACGTTATGACGTCCGTATTATCATAAAGTGCGACTAGGGATATTCTAGACATAGCCTTCGTCAAGAAGTAACAGTCTCATAATCAGAACATCGTAGTCCTCATCTATGTTACTGAAGTGCTATTGTCTATGTACTGAAGCTATGTTATGTTACACGAGATATAAAACATACTTCAAGGCCTTTCATTCATGATAAAGTATACAGTTACATAGGTATTTGATTGCCGCTAAGGCACCTAAATACAACAGTCTCCCACTTGCCCTAAGGCCAATCAAGTATTTCTCGAATGCCCATGGACCACGTATGACTCTCGTGTTTAGGCTTTCCCAAAGCCTTTGTCAACGGATCCGCGATATTGTCGTCTGTACCTATCTTGCAAATCTCAACGTCCCCACGTGCAATGATTTCTCGTATGAGGTGATAACGTCTAACGATGTGTTTGGTCTTCTGGTGAGACCGAGGTTCTTTCGCTTGTGCAATTGCCCCATTGTTGTCGCAAAACAACGGTATAGGGTTCTTGATGCTAGGAACCACTCCAAGCTCAGTAATAAAATTCTTGAGCCACACACCTTCCTTGGCTGCCTCTGCTGCAGCCATGTACTCTGCTTCTGTAGTGGAATCAATGGTAGTATCTTGCTTGTAACTCTTCCAGGTAACAGCTCCGCCATTCAAAGAAAACACATACCCTGCCTGCGACTTGAAGTCGTCTTTATCAGTTTGGAAGCTGGCATCAGTATATCCGACAATACTGAGCTCTTCTTTTCCGCCCTATACCAGGAAGGCATCCTTAGTCCTACGAAAGTACTTAAGGATGTTCTTCACAGCCGTCTAATGGCTTTTGCCAGGGTTGGACTGGTATATACTCGTGACACTCAGAGCAAAGGCGGCATTAGGTCTCGTACATACCATCGCATACATGATGGATCCAATGGCCGACGCATAAGGAACATTTCCCATGCGTTCTACTTCCTCCGGAGTGGAAGCACCCTGAGTCTTGGAAAGACTCGTGCCTTGGACCATAGGCAAACTTCGTCGTTTTGATTCAGACATGCTCAATCTAGCAAGGACCTTGTCTATGTATGTACTTTGACTGAGACCTAACAGCTTCCGTGATCTATCCCTATAGATCCTTATGCCAAGTGCATAACAGGCATCTCCCAAGTCCTTCATAGAGAAACTCTTACTCAACCATGTTTTGACGGTGGTTAAAGTAGGAATATCGTTTCCTATGAGCAGTATGTCATCAACATACTGATCAAGGAAGACTACAGCACTCCCACTGACCTTCTTGTATACACAAGATTCATTCGAATTTCTTTCAAAACCAAAACTGATGACAGTTTCGTGAAAGTGGATTTTCCAACTCCGTGAGGCTTGCTTCAATCCGTAGATTGATCGCTGCAACTTGCATACCTTGGTAGATTCTTCAGGAGCACAAAACCCTTCAGGTTGTGCCATAAAGACATCCTCAAGGAGGTTTCCATTAAGGAAAGTCGTTTTGACGTCCATCTGTCAGATTTCGTAATCGTGGTATGCTGCGATATCAAGTAATATCCGAATGGATTTAATCATGACAACTGGAGAAAAAGTTTCGTCATAGTCGATACCATGTATTTGACGATATCCTTTTGCTACCAATCGTGCCTTGAAGATTTGTACCTTACCATCCATGTAAGTCTTCTTTTTGAAGACCCATTTGCACCCAATGGGTTTGATCCCTTCGGGTGCATCAACCAAAGTCCATACTTGGTTGGTGTACATGGAATCCATTTCGGACTGCATGGCTTGACGCCATTCTTCAGCCTCAGGACAACTGATTGCCTCGAGGTAGGTCTCCGGCTCATCCTGATCGATAAGTATTACGTCACCCTCAAAGGTTAGGAGGAATCCATACCTTTAGGTTGCGTGCGTAACCGATTAGACCTACAGGGTTCTTGTGTATCTTGAGCATTTTGAGGTACAACGGTTTGTTCCTCTAGCTCATGTTCCTGAACCGGCGCGGAAGTTTCTTCGTCGTCTCGAATTTCTTCGAGCTCTATCTTTCTCCCACTAGTTGCGTTGGAGAGAAATTCCTTCTCGAGGAAGACACCATTGCAAGCAACGAATACCTTCTTATCGATAGGGTGATAGAATGAATACCCTCGAGTTTTCTTTGGGTATCCCACGAAGAAACACTTATCAGACTTGGCGTCAAGCTTGCCATTCGTCATAAGACGTTTGACATAAGCCTCACAGCTTTAAATCTTTAAGTGTGACAGAACTGGGCATTTGCCCGTCCATAGCTGGTATGGTGTTCCTTCAACCGCCTTGGTTGGAACTCGGTTAAGAGTATATATTGCAGTGCTCTGCGCATACCCCCAGAATGATTCTGGTAGAATCGAATGACCCATCATAGAACGAACCATGTCAAGCAGGGTTCGATTCCTCCTTTCAGAGACACCATTCCATTGTGGAGTCCCAGGAGGTGTGAGTTGGAATAAAATCCCATGCTCTCTAAGATAGTCATCGAACTCACCACTTAAGTATTCTCCACCTCGATCGGATTGTAGTGTTTTAATACTTTTGTCAAGTTTTTTTTTCAACTTCATTCCTGAATTCTTTGAACATTTCAAAGGATTCTGACTTGTGTTTCATGAGATACACATAGCCATATCTACTGAGGTCATCACTAAAAGTGATGAAATATGAATAACCACCTCGTGCAGTTGTATTGAAAGGCCCGCACACATCACTATGAATGAGTGCCAGAAGATCACCAGCTCTTTCATCGTGTCCAGCGAAAGGAGATTTGGTCATCTTACCCAATAAACAAGATTCGCATGTGTCATATGATTCAAGATCAAATGACTCCAGCATTCCCGACCGATGTAGCTTGGATATGCGTTTCTCGTTTATATGGCCTAACCTACAAAGCCATAGGTATGTTTGGTTCAAACCGTTCGGTTTGTTCCTCTTGGCTGGTATGTTATAGACAGGCATGTCCAAGTCAAGGACATATAACTCATTGGTCATGTTGGCATTAGCATAGGAAACATTCTTTCTGTAAACGGAAAGGGACTTGTCTTTAATAGAAATGATGAAACCACTCTTATCAAGACATGAAACAGAAATAATGTTTCTGCTAATTGCAGGAACGTACAAGCAATCGTTTAATTCCAACATTAGACCACTAGGCAAGACTAAACTATAAGTTCCGATTGCCAAAGCTGCAACAGGTGCACCATTGCCGACTCGGAGTTCAATCTCGCCTCGAGCTAACCGTCTACTGT